AAATTATCTGTATGATAATTGTACTATTATGTTACGATGATCAATTTCAAGTAAAATTAGTTAATAAAAAATTATATGTTATCATTAAACATTTCACATCTCATAACAAATTATTTATCGTAAACAAAATATTTTCTTATTTAAGTGTTAAAGAACAAAACAAAATACCTTATGTTAGCAAACTAGTGAATTTTATACAAAGAAGAAGAAAAGAAAGAAGAATGAAACTTATGAAAAATGATACTTTTTATTCTGAGACACATAAAAAATATTATGATTATTTGTATGAAAAGAATGGAAAGGTTTATTTTGATATAAATGGAAAAAGAAAAAATAGAAAAATCAAACGAGGAAAAGATATAATATATTGCAATAGTCCTGAACATAAAAATGAGATAGTATATAAAATCAAAAATGAATATAGAAATGATATTGGAAAAACATATTGTGATGCATGTTATAAATTTAGTTTTTATCAAATAGTTAATGTTGATGATAAAATTTGTATGATACCATCTTGTAACAAAAGAGATAATGAATCTAATGAATATTATTATGATTATCTTATAAATAATACTTGGTATAGTAATATATTATGGCCAAGTCATTCACATAACTTTTGTATTGAATGTTGTAAAAAAAATAATATAAAACGATTTTGTGTTAAAAAAATAACAGACATAGATTATTTTTGTTAAATTTTATTTATTTATTTATTTATTTATTTATTATATCAATATAATTTATTAATAACACATTAATAAAATTATTAATTATAATTTAATGATCTACAACAATATTATTTTTTGTTTTTATATCTATTATTCATAGAATAAAATATAACAAATGGTTCTCTTGAGGTAAATCCTAAATATACAAATATTAACTATCAAAACTACGTGTAATAATAACTTTACGAGCTCTTAATTCATTACCATCAGCTAACAATATATCAACTTTTTCTGCCACATATTTGAAATTAATATTATCATCATCCCAGTTTACTTTTACACGATTAGTTCTATTCTATTTACTACCAGGATTATAACCGGTATTAACATCATCATCATTATCATCATCTTCTTCTTCAACATCAACGTCAACATGAACTTTTTTAGATTTATGTTGTTTCATTCTCAGGTTAAACTTCTTATCATTTTCTTCATAGTTTTCATCATCACTATCTAATGGTTTATTTTTATTTTTAACAGGTTTATCTTTAACTGATTTAGAAGTTTTGGATTTAGTCGATTTATTATCATTATCTTTTTCTAAAGCATCCCATTCTTCTTTATGAGATTTTGCAAAATGATTTCTAGCAATCAATTCGTTGATTGGATGAGTGAATTTTTTAGGACACAATTTACATTTTGCTTTACCGGTAGCTTTATCAAGAGGGAAATAACTCAAAATATCGTTTTGATTTTCTGTATCACTTTGAATTTCAGACATTTTTTTTAATTTAGATTATTAATTATTCATCTCTTTATATAAAAAAATAAATGAATGTTTTTACAAGAACAAATAAAATTATTTTATTAAAAATTAAATTAATATTTCATTTTATTATAAAAAATATATTAAAAATTTACAAAATAATTCTTTAATAAATTTAGTTATAAATTAATAATTAAAAAATATCAAATATTATTAATCAAAAGTTATATAATTGAGAAAAAAAATCAAATATTTGTTTTACGTTATATTCATAATGGATAAATCAATGAACCATGATATATTTATTAACAGTTATCCAAATAACAAAATTGCAAGTATCGATATAAAATTAGAGTCGCAAAATCCATTTATATTCACAAAACCACCATTTCCTCCAATGATAAATGTTGATGAAATAATAAAAAAACGAAGTAATAAACAAAATAAAAAATTTACAAAAACACCTAATGCATTTATCATATATCGCAATGCATATATTGACCAAATTCATTTACATGGTATAAGATTAAATATGGTTAATATATCATCAATTGTTTCAATGTTATGGAATCAAGAACCATTTTATGTAAAGGAAGCATATAAACAACTTGAAAGAGATGTTAAAAAAAAACATTATGAAATGTATCCTATTGAACAAAAACGTAGATATAAGCATAAACCGAAAAACATAATTAATTTTGAGCATATAACTGAATCTTTACATGAAATAAAGAATGATCAAATAAATGATTTTTATGAAGTATCAGATAACATCATACCTCATTTCGAATGTAACAATGATGATAATAATTTAACAATTGAAAACACGTTCGATATTAATTCGTATCATGAAATGATGAGCAATTGGCATAGAGAATTATCAAAATATAACATTAGTCCATATCAATCTTATGAAGATAGTATGAATGTTCCATTTTTCAATACACATTTAGTTTAAAAATTTTTTTATTAAAAATATGTTTTGTTACATTGAAATATAAATAAATATAATTTATGATAATATAATAAAATGTTTAAGGATTATTATTATTTTTTTACTTCACTGTATTAATAAATAAATATTTTAGTTAAATAATAATAAAATAAAAAATATAACATTGAAAATACATACATATTCAAGATTTTTTCTAACATAACACTTTGTTCCTTTTTTCAATTTAATATTTTCAAGTTTAGCACTAGTTATATGTTCTAATAAAGGTTTCTTATTCTCATCAATAACGATATCATTGATTAAAAACCATTGATGAGGTTTGATCAGATTCAGTTTCAAATCATCATCAACCCAAATATTATAATCAATGGGTTTTTTACTAGCATCAAAAAGTTTTATTTGGCAATAAGTTTTAATTTCTTCATTGTCAAATTTGTAAGTAATAGGATGTCTCCAATTTTGATTAATCGAATCTCTATTCCAAGAAGTCATTTTTAAAAAGAATTGAAAAAAAATAAGAATATTTATAATGTATAATTAATAATATAAATGGTATCATATATTAAAATTTCTATTTTAAGAATAATAATTTATTTACTAATTAATAATCAAGATAAAATATAAAAACAGAAAAAGTCTTAATAAAAAATATTAAAAAAAAATATAAACAAAGTAAGAGAGCTCCCAACTGTATATTATTTTATAATTTTTATTTATTTTATACTAACTCTTATTATACCCACTGATTTTTATCCTTGTATGAATATGTTGCTTGCTGACCTACTCTACAAGATGCCAAAAACAAATAAAAAAAAGACAATACAACAAATAGGCTATATTAACATCAAAGATACCAAGAATATATGGACGTTAGTATTTTATTTAAGTTATATATCAAAAATTAATTTATACAATAATTATTTTTTTTAAAGACATAGATATTGTAATAAAGATAATACATTAGGAGGTATCGGTGTGTTTATTGCAAACAATGATCCAAAAAATTTAAGTGAAAGACTACCTGAAGAATATGAAACAAAGAACCAAGCAAAAGTGTATGCTATCATACGAGCTTTAGAAACCAATAAAAATCAAGATATAATAATTAATTCATACAAAATCAAAAGAAATAAAAAAAATAGAAATTTAATTATTAAAGTAAATGAGTTGATAAATGAAAGAAAGGGAAAAACTTATTTTAAATATGTTAAATACAGTGGTGTTAATAATAATGAACAAGAACAAGCAACTAAATTAGCATATCAAGGATCCAAAAAAGAAGATCGAATTAAAAATAAATTAGCAGCTATCAAACTTAGGAATGAATTGTATAAAAAAAATAATTAATATAATATATTAATAATTATATTTAAATATTAAGAATGAAACCAGAATTTGTATTCCGATTAATAATAAAATTTTTGTATCTAATTAATAATAAAAATCTTTATAAATATGGTTCATGTTTTTACAAATAAAAAATATTCAGAGGAAAATAAAATAATTATAAAAATAAAAAAATGACTAC